CTTTGTCACTTTTGGTTTCTCCTTTGCCCTCAAAGAGTCCCTTTTAATATTTCTTGCAGGGCAGATTTAGTGTAACAAATTCCTTTAGTTTTTCTTTGTGTAACTCTTTATCTCTCCTTCTATTCTGAATGATAGCCTTGCTGGATAGAGTATTCTTGGTTGCAGATTTTTCCCATTTGGCACTTTGAACATATCATGCCACTCCTTTCTGGCTTTCCAAGTTTCTGTTGAGAAGTCTCCAGCTAGCCTTATGGGTCTTCCCTTGTCAGTTAAGGGCTTCTTTTTTCTTGTTGCTTTTAAGATTTTTTTCTTTATTGCTATAGTTTGCAAATTTAATTACAATATGTCTTGGTGTTGGCCTGCTTTTATTGATTTTGATGGGAGTTCTTTGTGCCTCCTAAATCTGGTATCTGTTTCTTCTCCAGATTTGGGAAGTTTTCAGCTATTATTTCCTCGAATGAATTTTCTGCCCCCTTTTCTCTCTTCTTCTTCTTCTGGGACTCCTATAATATGAATGTTATTATGTTTGATGGAGTCTCTGAAATCCCTAAGTCTATTCTCATGTTGCATTAAGTGTTCCTATCTTGTGTTCAGCTTCGTTATTTCCATTATATTGTTCTATGCTGAATCATTCCTCCACTTCTTCCAGTCTACTGTTCATTGCTTCGAGCCTGTTTCCCATCTTGTTTATTGCATTCTTCATCTCTGATTCATTCTTTTTTAACTCTTTGATATCTGTGGTAAAGGTCTCACTGATGTCTTCTATTCTTTTCTCAAGCCCAGTGAGTACCCTTATGATTGTTGCTTTAAATTCTCCAGCAGGCATGTTACTTATATCTGTTTCACTTACATCTCTGGCCATGGCCTTATATTGTTCTTTCATTTAGGATACCTTCCTCTGCCTTGGCATTCTATCTAAGTCTCTGCCTTCTTCTGTGTGTTAGAAAAGCCAGTTATGTCTCCTGCTCCTGAAAGTAATGGCATTATGAAGAAGAGGTCATGTCGTGCAAAGGGCTTAGCACTTCAGGGAGTGTCTCTGGTGTGTGTTGCTTGTACTCTGCTGTTGTGTTTTGTTTGCACTTCCTTCAAGCCAGTCTGCAGAGGCTCTCCTTGCCTGCTGTGTGCAGTGTTTGGTCCCTAGTCTGAATGTGGTGAGTTTTAACTAGATGTGCTCTGGTCTGCTTGTGAAATGAAACCTGACACCCCTTCTACCAGAACTGAAGACCTGCAGAACTCTCTGGTTGGAACACATGGTGTGGGCAGGAATTTGTTCTGGTCTTCTGGGGAGGGGCCCATTCTGCTGGGACTGAGGCAAGCATGACTGAGAAAGGCAGTCCCATCAGAGTGCAAGGGTGAAGGGCTTGGTGTAAGCATGTTAGGCAGCCGGTGTCAATTCTGCACTGCTTCCTGTACATGGCTTTGTGTTTGTGCTGAGGAGAGGAGGAGGGAAATGCCACCATCCAGCTCCTTTGTTCCTGGGGAGGGGTCTTGCAAACACTTTCTCCCAGAGATGTGTTCCAAGTAGAGTAAATAAATCTCCCCCTTTTGTGTCCCAGGTGTTCTTCAAATCATTGTTTCCATGCTGTCTACTCCCAGTTTGTGTGCTTGCCTTCTCTACAAGAGCAGCACTTGTTCTTCAAGCTCTATCCCAGTCAAGCCTGCGGACCTTTAAAGCTCTAGGCTTTATATATATATTTGTTTGTCAGAGAGAGAGAGAGACAGAACAAGCAGGAGAAGCAGCAGGCAGAAGGAGAAGCAGGCTCCCTGCTGAGCAAGGAGCCCGATTCAGGACTTGGGACTCGATCCCAGGACCTTGGGATCATGACCTGAGCTGAAGGCAGATGCTTAAACGACTGAGTCACCCAGGTGTCCCTAAAGCTCTAGGATTTAAGCCCTGCTGGTTGCATGAACTCACTAAATTCCGCCCCTCTCATCTTCTAAGCCAATGGCTTTGGGGAAACCTTCTCCTTTTGCATCCCCCTGTCTGCTCCTCTCTCTCTCTCTCTTTCTCTCTCCCTCTCTCTTCTCCATGACCACATCTCCCTCCCCTCCACAGCACCCACAATCCTTTTCCCCCTAAACCACATCTCCACAGTTACTACCTTCTTTGATGTGGCCTCTTCTCTCCCTATAGTTGTGTAGTTTGTTCTGTCAGGCTTCTGGTCTATTTCTGGGCTATTTATGATGATGTGATAGTTATTTAGTTGTGTTCATGAGTTGAAATGAGCTTAGGGTCTTCCTACTCCACCACTATCTTCCCTCTTCCCCAAGTGAATTTTTACTATAAAGATGAAAAGATTTCTAGTTTGTGGGGTGATACATATGGAACTTTGATATCCTCACTCTGCTGTGACCTGAAACCACCAGGGAGATGACAGAGTGTAACAGACCCTTGTAGGTACCTTAATTGAACCTGTGAAATAAGGGTTGGAGCAGGTGATATCTGAGGTCCCTTCCAACCACAGTCTTGCTCACTATACCACCCCAACACTGATCACAGGACTTGGGGATCCACAACCCATTGAGTGGCCACTTGGAACCTTCTGGTGCCCAGCCACAGAACAGGTGTGGGAGGGTGCATGGGTGGGGCAGCAGCAGGAAGGTGTCAGTGGATAGGTGGGTGGGAGTTCAGTGGGTTCCGTGTGAGCAGGATCCCCATGCTTCCCTCATGTGAGTGCTCCCCTCGTGGTTCTTCCCTGCAATGCCTGGGCATGCCTGTCCTGAATATCACCTGAGTGGTCCTGTGGAAACTTATGGTTCCCCTACACCAGAAAAAAACATTTTTTTTAATGGCAGTTTGACATTATCTGCCAAAAGGCCTATGTTTGGGCCTAGCAATCCCACTTTAAGGAACTGACCCTATAGATTTAGTATATGTGCCAATGACATATATACAAAGTTTTTTTTATTACAGCATTATTTGTAGTAGCAAGAGAACAGGAAAAAACTAAATTTTCATCAGAAACACTTTGGTTAAATTATGGCGTGTTGATGCAATGAAAATCCATGCAACATTTTTAAAGAAAGTGAGAAGCTTACTCTTTGCAAGTTATATTAAATAGAATGATTTCCAACTTATAGATGATGAAAAAGTAATTGGTATGAAACCGTGAATAGGATACTACTATTTGTGTGAAAAAAACACACTGTTTCAGGGCTTTTATATGTATAAAATATAAAAGGGTACAGAATGAAGTCATGAAACCGTAACATTTGTTGCTTCTAGGAAGGAAACTTGGTGGCTGAGGGACAGGGATGGAAGGGAAACTTTTCACTGTGTACTATTTTATGCGTTCAAATTTTGAATTTTGTGAATGTATTACCTTTCAAAAGAAATACAATGAAAAAATTTTTAAATATTACAAAATTTCCATATTTATATTGTGTTCATATATTCATGTAAACACATAAAAATCAAAAGATCTGTACCGATACACACCAAACAGCAGACAGGTATTAATGCCCTAAGAGGGGGAGGTGGGAGGCTAGATGTATGTGTGTGGTAGATTTTACTTTTTACTTTAAATTGCTTGAATTTGAAAATGAGATTTCATAATTACACAAATGAAGCACATAAAAAAGGAATTGTATCATAAGACTAGGAGCACTGGGCTAAGAGAGTACAGCTTTTTCAATTCAACTATATATGTATAACGCACTCAGCCCTATTAACTTGGTCTTGAGTCATCATTCCCTTGAGTCTTTCTGATTGAGGTAATAACACCTTGCCACACGAGAACTCACAATGAAACAGTAAAGTGACCATCAGTCTTATAATGGCCTATGTGGAGAATAGTGAAATTTCTGATATCAGAAGAGCTATCCAAGGGGCGCCTGGGTGGCTCAGTCAGTTAAGGGGCTACCTCCGGCTCAGGTCATGATCTCAGGGTCCTGGGATCGAGCCCCACATCGGGGTCCCTGCTCAGTGGAGAGTCTGCTTCCCCCTCTCCCTCTGCCTGCCTCTTTGCCTGCTTGTGCTCTCTCTCTCTCTCTGTCAAATAAATAAATAAAATCTTTAAAAAAAAAAGAAAAGCTATCCAAGAGACAGCATAAAAAGATAAGCAGTAGAAGCAACTTTTACAACTATCGCAGATACAACTCACATTTCAAAAAAGCATATAATCTGAAGACATTGTCATGTTTTATTAGTTTAACAAAGTTGAAAGTGACTGCTCTGTACATAATTACCTTAACAATGTTGATGCTGAAGTGAAAGTTCACTGTCATATTTATGTTAAGTTTAATAGTGTTTTTAATGTAAAATTAGGACTGAAGATTATTCCCCTACTAGCCTTCGTCCCAGGATGTGGCTCTAACCAGATTCAGTTATGCAGTCACGTAGAACCTTGCTTTCTAGTGCTGGAAAAGATGTCTCTAACTACTGGCTTGAATAAATATGAATCCAGATTGCTTGCAAAAAGAAAATGAACATATAGTCTTTGAGGTTACTGAAAAGAATTTGTGATTTATAGTCAGTAATCCTGTGTTTAAGACCTGGATACATTATAATGTAGCTGTATCACTTTGGATAATCAGCTATTCCTGATAACCAACTGTCCCTATCCTATTACCTATCTCACAAAGTTATTGAAACAATAAAATGAGATAATATTATGAAATCACGTTGTAAACTCTATAGTGTTGTGCAAATACTATCATTATCATCTTTTAGCACCTACAATGGCAGAGATAATGATAAGTGGCTATGGTAGCTTCCCTCACATTGTCATAAAGAACATTTCCCCTTTAGTTTTAGAATCACATGGCAACTTTTAAAACATACAACTTCCAGAAGGTCTTACTGAAAATTTGGCACTGTAACTTATTTCTGTCACTTCATGGGGAAAAGGTAAGAATTAACATTTTATAATAACAATAGAGAATACTTGGTAATAAGAAAACAAAACAGAAATTTGTGGTCTAGTTTTATGTCTTTCTGAACTGCTAGAAATGGACAAAAAAGATAATATGAACACTGATTTTTTTCTCTTAAATTTCAGTTATCTACCTCATATTTTACCATGCCATCTTTGTGTTCTTTACCTGGACCTACTGGAAGTCTATATTTACACTCCCACAACAGCCAAATCAAAAGGTAAGAATCATGGTTACTTCCTAAAGGCTAAAGAGACAGGCAAGCAGAAATGCAAAACAAAACAAAAACAAGAAGTTGAAAAAAGAAGCAAAAAACCTTCATTTACAGAAGAGAGATTCAGGATAATCTTTAAAAAGGCCTCTTAGTGATAAAGGTAAATTAAGGGTAGGATAGTCTATAGAAGGATAATCTATTGCAAAATCACTGGCCACAGATGCTTTGAAGACTAAGAAACCACTGTTTGAATTAGTGATATAATTATTTTTTTATTTTTATTTCAATTCAATTTAGTTAACATGTAATATATTATTAGCTTCAGGAGTAAAATTTAGTGATTCATCAATAACATATATCATCCAGTGCTCATTAAATCAACTGTCCTCCTTAAAGCCCTTCACCCAATTACCCCATCTCCCACCCACCTCCCCCCAGCAACCCTCAGTTTGTTTCCTATAGTTAAGAGTCTCTTATGGTTTGTCTCCCTCTCTGGTTTCATCTTATTTTATTCTCCCTTCCCTTCCCCTATTTTCATCAGTTTTGTTTCTTAAATTCCACATATGAGTGAAATCATATGGTATTTGTCTTTCTCTGATGACTTATTTTGCTTGGCATAATACCCTCTAGTTCCATTCACATCGTTGCAAATGGTAAAATTTCATTCTTTATGATAGCTAATAATATTCCTTTGTGTGTGTGTGTGTGTGTATATATATATATATATATACCACATCTTCTTTATCCATTCATCTGTCAATGGACATCTGGGTTCTTTCCATATTTTGGCTACTGAGGACACTACTGCTATAAACATTGGGGTGCATGTGCCCCTTCAAATCAATATTTTTGTATCCTTTGGATAAATACCTAGCAGTACAATTGCTGGATAGTAGGGTAGTTCTATTTTTAACTTTTTGAGGAACCTCCATACTGTTTTCCAGAGTAGCTGCACCAGTGTGCATTCCTCCAACAGTGTAAGAAAGTTCCCTTTCTCTGCATCCTCACCAACATCTGTTGTTTCTTGTGTTGTTAATTTTAGCCATTCTGACAGGTGAGAGGTGATATCTCATTGTGGTTTTGATTTGTATTTCCCTGATGCTGAATGATGTTCAAAATTTTTTCATGATAGTCATTTGTATGTGTTCTTTGGAGAAATGTCTGTTCATGTCTTCTGCCCATTTCTTGACTGGATTATTTGTTTTTTGGGTGTTAAGTTTGATAATTTCTTTATAGATTTTTGATACTAGCCATTTATCTGAGATGTCATTTGTGAATATCTTCTATTCTGTCCATTGTCTTTTGGTTTTGTTGATTGTTTCCTTTGCTGTGCAGAAGCATTTTATCTTGATGAAGTCCCAATAGTTCACTTTTGCTTTTGTTTCCTTTGTCTTTGGAAACCTGTCTAGCAAGAAGTTACTGCAGCCAAGGTCAAATAAGTTGCTGTCTGTGTTCTCCTCTAGGATTTTGATGGATTCCTGTCCCACATTTAGGTCTTTCATCCATTTTGAGTTTATCTTTGTGTATGCTGTAAGAAAGTGGTCCAGTTTCATTCTTCTGGATGTGGCTGTCCAATTTTCCCAAGATCAGTTGTTGAAGAGACTGTTTTTTTTCAAATGGATATTCTTTCCTACTTTATCAAACATTAACTAACAATAGAGTTGAGAATCCATTTCTGGGTTCTTTATTCTATTCCATTGATATATGTGTTTGTTTTTATACCAGTACCATACTGTCTCAATGATTTCAACTTTGTAATACAACCTGCAGTCTGGAATTGTGATGCCTCCAGCTTTGGTTTTCTTTTTCAACATTCCTTTGGCTATTTCGCAGTTTTTTCTGATTCCATACAAATTTTAAGATTGTTTGTTCCAGCTGTGTGAAAAATGCTGGCAGTATTTTGGTGGGGATTGCCCTGGATGTGCAGATTGCTTTGTGTAGCATACACATTTTAACAATATTTATTCTTCCAATCCATGAGCATGGAATGTTTTTCCATTTTTTGTGTCTTCCTCAATTTCTTTCATAAGTGTTCTATAGTTTTCAGAGTACAGATCTTTTATCTCTTTGGTTAGGTTAATTCCTAGGTATGTAATGGTTTTTGGTGCAATTGTAAATGGGATCGATTCCTTGATTTCTCTGCTGCCTCATTGTTAGTGTATAGAAATGCAACAGACTCCTGTGGGTTGACTTTATATCCTGCAACTTTGCTGAATTCCTGTATCAGTCCTAGCAATTTTTGGGTAGTCTTTAGGTTCTCTAGGTAGACTATCATGTTATCTGTGAAGAGTGAAAGTTTGACTTCTTTGCCAATTTGGATGCATTCTATTTCTTTTTATTGTCTGATTGTTGAGGCTAGGACTTCCTGTACTATGTTGAACAACAGTGGTGAGAGTGGACAACCCTGTCATATTCCTGACCTTAAGACAAAAATGTCGTGGGTCTTTTGTATATGCCTTTATGATGTTGAGGTATGTTCCCTCTATCCCTACATTTTGGAGGGTTTTTATCAAGAGAGGATGCTGTATTTTGTCAAATGATTTTTCTGCATCTATTAAGAGGATCATATGGGGTTCTTGTCCTTTCTTTTATTGATATGATGTATCACAATGATTGATTTGTGGATGTTGAAACACCCTTGCAGCCCAAGAATAAATTCCACTGGGTCATGGTGAATAATCTTCTTAATGTATTGTTGGATCCTATTAGCTAGTATCTTGGTGAGAATTTTTGCATCCATGTTCATCAGGGATATTAGTCTGTAATTCTTCTTTTTGGTGGAGTCTTTGTCTGGTTTTGGGATCAAGGTAATGCTGGCCTCATAGAATGAGTTTGGAAGTTTTCTATTTCTATTTTTTGGAAAAGTTTCAGATGAATAGGTATTAATTCTTCTTTCAGTGTTTGGTAGAATTCCCCTGGGAGGCCATCCGGTCCTGGACTCCTGTTTCTTGGAAGATTTTTGATGACTGATTCAATTTCTTTCCTGGTTATAGGTCTGTTCAGGTTTTCTATTTCTTCCTGTTTCAGTTTTGGTAGTTTATGTGTTTCTAAGAATGCATCCATATTTTCCAGATTGCCTAATTGTTTGGCATATAATTGCTTATAATATTCTCTTATATGTGTTTGTATTTCTTATAATATTCTCTTATATTTGTTTGTATTTCTTCAGTGTCGGTTGTGATCTCTCCTCTTTCATTCATGATTTCATTTATTTGGGTCCTTTCTCTTTGCATTTTGAAAAGTTTGGCTAGGGGTTTATCAATGTTATTAATTCTTTCAAAGAACCAGATCCTAGTTTCATTGATCTGTTCTACTGTTTTTTTATTTCTATATCTTTGATTTCTTCTCTAATCTTTAGTATTTTTCTTCTCCTGCTGGACTTAGGCTTTATTTGCTGTTTTTTTTTTCCAGCTCCTTTAGGTGTAAGGTTAGGTTGTATGTGTGAGACTTCTTGTTTCTTGAGAAAGGCCTGTATTGCTATATACTTCCCTCTTAGGACCACCTTTGCTGCATCCCAAAGGTTCTGAACTGTCGTGTTTTCATTTTCATTTGCATCCATGTATTTTTTTAATTGTTCTTTAATTTCCTGGTTGACTCATTCATTCGTTAGTAGGATGTTCTTTAACATCCATGTATTTGTGGTCTTTCAAAATTTCTTCTTGTGGTTGACTTCAAGTTTCATAGCATTGTGGTCTGAAAATATGCAGGGTATAATCTCAGTTTTTTTGTACCGGTTGAGACTTGATTTGTGACCCAGTATGTCATCTGTTCTGGAGAATGTTCCATGTGCACTCGAGAAAAATTTCTATTCTGCTTTTTTAGGATGAAATGCTCAGAATATATCGTTGAAATCTATTTGGTTCAGTGTGTCATTCAAAGCCCTTGTTTCCTTGTTGATCTTCTGCTTAGATAATCTGTCCATTGCTGTGAGTGGGGTGTTAATGTCCCCTACTATTATTGTATTATTGTTGATGTGTTTCTTTAATTTTGTTATTAATTGGTTTATATACTTATCTGCTTCCAACTTGGGGGCATAAATATTTGCAATTGTTAGATCTTCTTGTTGGATAGAACCTTTATTATGATATAGTGTCCTTCTTCATCTCTTACTACAGTCTTTTGTTTAAAATCTAGTTTGTCTGATATAAGGATGGCTACTCGAGCTTTCTTTTGATGTCCATTAGCATGATAAATGGTCTTCCACACCCTCGCTTTCAATCTGGAGGTGTCTTTGGGTCTAAAATGAGTCTCTTATCGGTGGGTCTTCTTTATTTTATCCATTCTGATACATTATTTCTTTTGATTGGAGCATTGGGGCCATTTACATTTAGAGTAATTATTGAAAGATATGAATTTAGTTCCATTGTATTACCTGTAAAGTCACTGTTCCTGTAGAATGTCTCTGTTCCTTTCTGGTCTCTGTTACTTCTGGGCTCTCTCTCTGCTCAACGTATCCCCTTTAATAGTTCTTGTAGCACTGATTTGATGTTTACAAATTCCTTTAGTTTTGGGGGTGCCTGGGTGACTCAGTTGGTTAAGTGTCTATCTTCAGCTCTGGTTATGGTCCCATGATCCTGCAATCGAGCCCCATGTCAGTTTTACTGCTCAGCGGGGAGTCTGCTTTTCCCTCTCCCTCTGCCCCTTCCCCCCCAACTTGTGCGCTGTCTCTCACTCTAGTAAATAAATAAAATCTTTAAAAATATATAAATTCCTTTAGTTTTTGTTTTTACTGGAAACTCTTTATCTCCCCTTCTATTCTGAATGATATTTAGCTGCATATTTTTCCCATTTAGCACATTGAATATGTCATGCCAGAGCTTTCTGGTCTGCCAGGTCTCTGTGGACAGGTCTGCTGCCAGCCTTATGTGTCTACCCTTGTATGTTAAGGACCTCTTTTCCCCAGAGCTGCTTTCAGAATTTTCTCTTTATCTTTGCAGTATATAAGCTTCACTATAATATGTTGAGGTGTTGACCTATTTTGTTGATTTTGAGGGGGTTCTCTGTGC